AATGCCCACAATTTGGACAGCCTCCATCTTCATCCTCTGACCACGGGAAAACTTGGCAAGAACGAGACCTTGTCCATCAATTTTGGCACCAACTGGACAAGTGTTGAGCACGATTAAATGAGTTTCCACACTCAGATGAACACAATGCAACTTCATTCATATTAATAAAGCCCTAATCTCCACGGTCACTCAAATGAGCGTCTTAGGGGGGGATTTCCTGTGTGGCAGCTCCTGGCAGTGCCACGGCTGGGCAACCCATCACCAGTGTTAATTAAAGGCGGAATTAGAAATTATAGCCATGGCTGGGCTGCTTCTGTCTGTTTGATAAGTTACAACATCTCCCATACATCAACAAGGGTGGGGAAGAAACGATCCCGTAACTGCAGGGGCTTTCCAGGGAAGTGAATGGCTCTGCAGGGATAATCGGTTTTTAATAACCTAAACTGCGTGTTTTCGGAGGGGCTGCTGCTGTGTCGCGCCTCCTCCACCAGCCATTGCAAACAACGGCGGCTCTTTCGCCTTCAGAGGCGAGGCCAGCGAGGGACGGGGGCACTCACCGGCCCCAGCACAAGGGAGGGGACAATTCCCCTGGGTGTGAGCCCATCTGGAGCAAACACCGGTCCCTGGCTGGTGCCAGCACTCCAGGAGCGCCGGCCAGGCAGATGGCTGCTGGAGAGGCTCCTTTGGCTGCTGGGGTGGCCAGGGGACCGATCCTCGCTGTGTCACAGCGGCAAGCTGGAGAGCCACGGCGTGGAGCTGGGATCCCCCTGGGAACGGCGTCTGGGGACAAGCAGCCGCGAGCGGGGGTCTCTGCCACCCAAGGGGCAAAGGAGGTTGGATGGTGGGATGGTTCCTCCACAGGACTCATGGCTGCCTCGGGGTTTGGCCCCAGGCTTTGGTGCTGGGATGCCCCAAGTTGGGCGAGCAAGACCTGAAGTGAAGCCAACACAAGCAGTATGCACTCTGCCGGGGCACCCAGCACCCAGCCCAGAGAGCCCAGCACCAGGAAAGCCTTTGTCCTGCCATGTCCGCCCTGAAAAGCCCCCGTTAGCCTCAGTGAGGTGACCCCCTACGGCAGAAGCAAGAGCTCATCGTCCATCCCCCACCCACCCAACCCTCTCCACGCGGGCCGGTGCTGCAGGAAGGGAGGGAGGGCTTCTTTGCCCCTCACGCAGCTGAAACCTGCTGCCAGGTCACAGATCCAGGCACAGGGAATTTACTGTCCCCAGCCTATGAGCCATTCCTCCCTGGACCATCCCTGTCCCCATCCCTGTCCCCTCTCCACCGGGGCTCTGCATCAGCACCTGGGAAATCACACGCGTCTAACAGGCCATAACTCACCCTCCTCCCTCGAAAGCCTGTGCTAAGGAACACTAAGGCACCCCCCGGGGCTGGGATAGGCACGAGGGGTGGGGGAGTCCTCCTCCTCCTGGGTCGGGTGTGGGGGAGCATTCCATGGTACCCTAAGGCAACGGGATGACTTTGGGGGGGACTGCCACCAGCGAAGAGGGGGTGAGTCCACGGGATCCCAGCAGGTTCCCGGGCTCGGTGCGGTGGCTGGGGCTGTTTCAGCTGTCCCTGCAGAGCGGGTGGCCCCTCGCCATGGGCACCCTTTTCACCCGAAGCAGGGGATGCCGCTGTTGCCAGCTGCCGGCTTGTCAGCGTGCCGCACCGCGTGGCCACGCCAGGGGCTGGGCAGGTCCTTGGGCAGGATTGCCGCCCTCGCGTGCGCCAGCATGCAGAGCCCCTTCCTGACATGCGAGCCCAGGGAGGTGGAGTAGCTCCTATCGCCCCGCAGCCGTGCAAACCAGCGCCTCCCAGGGAGGATTAGCCTTGCTGCAGGAGACAGGGTCTGCTCAGGTTGGCATCGGACGCCGGCACCTACAATTCACCCTTCAGAAACTCACCGAGCTTTGGAAATGGAGGCTGCTGCCTCCTGCACCTTGCCCCACGCCTGGGGCCCCCAAAGGCAAGGCTGGGGGGCATCTGGGTTATTGCTCTGGGCAGCTTTTCTGCCCGTGCCCCCCAGGCTGGCATTGGCCCCATGGGTGAGGGCCGAATCAGGGCACTGCTCCTTGGGACACTGCAACCGATACCAGGGGCGAGGAGGTCTTCGAGGCTGCCCGCCTGCCGCATGCCCACAGCAGGGATTTAAAGGCAGGTGTAGGAGGCTGGGCAGAGGAGAAGACGCCCAGTGGGGTGGTATCCCAAAAAACCCTCTCCAGATGAGGGTCAGAGAAGGAGGACCTGCTTAGTGCCCGGCCAGGGTGAGGCAGGAGACCCCCGATGTGCTCTTGGGCCACAGCAGACTTAACACATCCGCAGCCCCCCGTGCTCCCACCACGCCACCGTTCAGCCCCCAGAGATGAGCCTGGAGGGGGATACATCTCCTGTGTCTCCAGCAACACCCCAGAGGGCCCTGCTGGAGGGTTGGGACTCAGCATCAGGTCTGCGGGGGCACCTGTGAGGGCATTTATCTGCAACAGGCAATAGCAGCTCAGGCAAATGCCACTGCTGCTGCTGGAGCCGGTGGGCTGCTGGCGTCCCCTGGGGCAGCACCCGCATGCCCTGCTCCCCCTTCCCAAGGAGCGTTGGCTGTGACGGCCTTCCTCCAGCCCTGGAGGCTTCCCTGAGAAGAGAAGCCGTGACCTGGCATGTCCTTAGGATCAAGGTCAGGGCACTTGTCCGCTTCCCTTGGGCGGGTCCCGCGAGACCTTGGCTCTCCTGGTGCTCCCAAGGGATGGATCCCCATCAGCCACAGAGACTGAGGGGGATGTCCAGACACACTCCGGGTCTGCATCATCCACACAGGGTCTGCACGATCCGCGACCAGGTGCTGGCTCTTGCTGCCCTGTAAATGAGTGGGTGCTTTCAAGTCAAGGGCGTATAGCGAAGAGCCTTTGGGCACCTCCCACCTTGCATCAACGTGTTGCATTGGACCGCAAAGTCAGGATGGGCCCTGTGGGCCTGGCTTATCCTCGGCCAGCAGGTACCAAGAGAACGAACAGCGTTGATGGGGCTGTCCCATAGGTTATTATAGGTTACCTCGGCCTTTCCATCGAGACAAGGGGTTTCCGTCCCAAAGGGAAGATGGATTCACAGCCAAAAGCATTGCTCATAATTCAAAATGCTCAAAACTGGAGCCTATTGCCATGGGGAAACAGCTAGCAAGCCCCAAGAGAAAGACATAAATGTCTTGTTGAATATTTGTACATTCTTTCAAATGCCACCAAAAATAAGACATTGCTGGTACTTGCCGTGACTGCCAAAAGCGACTGGAGAACAGAGAAGCCCCGCAGAGAAGAGAGGGCGAGGAGGGGAAGCACACGCACGCGTGTGCATGTGTGCAGGCTGGCGTGTGCCCGGGAGGGGCTCGGGGCTCGCGGCGTTCGCGTTCCCCTCGGGGCGGCTGGAGCGGGGAGACGGGACGGCTCCCACCAGCTCCCGTATCCCTGCAGCCCCTCCGCTGCCCCGCGTCCCCTTCCTAACCGGGGACAATCTGGCATGGTCTAGCACCGCCTGCGCCCCGTGCCCCCCGAGCCCGGCGTCTCCCCGAGCCCCAGCGATACCCCATGCCCCCTTTGTTCCTCCTGCCAGCTGGGCAAGAGCCACTGTCTCCCGCATGCCGTACTTTTTGGGGTTATTTCACCCGGAGCAGGCCAAGGGGGAATGGGGCGACACTCCTGAAGCACGGGAACACCGGCAGGCGAGAGGAGGGCATAACCTCCCCGGGCACGTGGGAAGAAGGCGAGAGTCATGGGCTGGAAATTTTTGCAGAGGAGTGAGTAAGTGGGAAGCTCCGGGCACAGGAGGCTGCAGCGTGGCCCTGGGGGAGCCTTGTCGCCCACGGCCGCTCTGAGAAGGGGTGGGCGCCCCTGGAGGTGCTTCCACTGTGGCATGGTGTGTCTAATTGCAGCCCAAACCGCCAGCGTGGCTTCACCCCTGCTCGCCCTCTAGGCAAAACCTCGCCTGGGGTGTTCAGAGGCTTCCCTCGGTTTCGGGCCATGGGCAGCAGCCAGCCAGCTCCACAACCCGATTTCCAGGCTGGAGGAGCAGCACAGAGCTGTGCCCCGGAGCGCGCCCTCAGCCTGCTCCGTGCTCCGCCAGGCTGGCCAGCAAACCCACACCCCTGGCTGGCCAGAATGATTTCAAGACACCCCCTCCCCAGGGCCTCCCCGAATCTCCTGCCGCCCTCTTGCTGTGCACCCCGCAGCACCCGAGGGCGTTTAACGGCGCCAGCGGGGGCTCGCCCCAGCAGACGCGCTGCCTCCTGGCTCTGCTGCAGTCTCACCCCTTCGCTGCGAGGCTTCATTCCCAGGCTTGCACCCACCCTGTGGGGAAGCCAGTTTGACTTTAACGCCTTCCAAACGAGCTGAAAAGGCTTGCATTTGAAATGACCCGTCACGCTCTGGCTCTACTGGAAGAGCCCTTCTCCTGCCGGCGTTCTGCCCGGGGTCGCTCCTCGGGGCCGTGCGCGTCCCCACGCCGGAGGAAGGGCGGCACATGGAAACCCACGTGCCGAGAAGCTCCTCGGCCGGGGCCTGTCAGGGCATTTGAAATGATTTTCTGGAGTGTTACACAAAGAGGAAAACATCCGAGACTCGCGGCGGGCTGCATGACTCACCATCGCCCGGGGAGGAAGGCCTCCATCGCCGCTTATGCAAGCGCTGGCAGCTGCGGGGGCCGCGCTGGCCCTGGGTGGACGCACTGCGTCCCAGCAAAGCCCACGCGTCCTGGGGCACAGCCTGGGCGCTGGGGGAAAGGAGCAGGAGCTCTGCTTTCTGCCGGCCCAGCCTCGGGAACGGCGGGGCTGTGCCATGGCTGCCGAGCCCCGGGCACCCAAACCGGCTGTGGGAGAGGGCGCTCCCCCAAGCCAGACCCAGGCGAGGAAGAGGTGTCAGGACAGGGCATTTGCGGGGGGCGGGGGGGCAGGGGAGGTGGCCTGGGCTAGGAAAGGCTGGGTGTGGGAAAAGTTCCGGAAAAACTTGGCAAGGGGAAAGATTGGGTTTGGTTTTGGTTTTTTTTCTTACTTTTTTTTGCAAAGTCCTGGTTCCTCACCGTCTTGATTGCTGCCTTCAGGAGAGCAGGCACAAGGATGGCCACGCCGAGGTGCAGGCAGGGCTGAGCCCCGGGGAATAGTCTGTCCCCACCCAGCACAAGGGAAGGCAGAGCAAGAGGCTGGGGGGGGCATCACACCCATATTTACAGTCAGTGGGGCAGGATCCTCTCCCTCGACTTTCCCCATTACCGCCCAACCCCATTTCCACGAGGGCAGCCAGGTTTCAGGAGAGCATGGGCTTGATGGGACCCCCCCAAAACAGGGCGGCAGCATCTGGGGACACCCGCAGCCCTGCCCCTCTGCCAGCTGCAGAGCTGGGGCGCAGGCAGGCACGCAGCCCCAGGGAGAGCTGCGCCAGTGCCCCTGGCCCCAGGCAAAGGGGAAAGGGCTGCCAGGTACCCGGGGAAGCTGCCCCACGCACCACCCTGTGCCACACCGAGCAGTGCCAGGATGCCTCAGCCCCCTGGACGGAGGAGACCCCTTGCCAGGCAACAGCGCCCAGCTGGGTCCCCGTCCCTCTGCATGTGGCTCCAGCTCTGTTGGCAGCCGTGGAGCAGGGCCCAGGCAGGAAGGTAGAGCTATGGTCACAGAGCCCTGGAGGCGTCCCGGATCTCCTGGGGGTCCTGCAGAGTTTGGGATGAGGCACCTATTTGTGGGACACCGGGAAAAGCAGGACAAGGTGGGCCAGAAGCTTGCTAGATCCCGCACTGGGTACAATGATGCGGGCAGCAATACCCCCGTGTCGCCCCACAGCGTTCATGCTCCTGCTCGGGGGGGGGCGGGGGGGGGGACGACGGGACCCCTCTCAGCAGCCACGCGTGGCCCCCCCGGAGCGCCCACCCCGTCCCCTGCGTGGCTGGCGGGTGGGGGCCGGCAGGCGAGGGCACCCGTGGC